ATTCTGAGCATACGGAAATGTACACGAATATTTTCTATTAAAAAAAAACAATATATAACAGCTAATGACTTTGCTTAACAGTGTGTATCCAGACAGTTGTTCACATTGTACTTGGAGGTGCAGAATATAGCCCTGGACGACTGCTTTGTCCTCGTGCATGTATTTAGGTTGGCAGGAGCCCTTTCCTGTGCTACCACGTAACCTTACACCTTACCTGCAGTTCACAGACGCGCACTTGGATCTGTACGGTCTGGTCCGAGAGCTGGAGCTGCTGGAGCAAAGGTTGTGTGTGCTTGTAGCTGTAGCTGCTTAGCCAGCTTTTTCTCTGGCAGTATTCAGGGGTGCCTGGTGCCCTGCACCTTCGTAAACACTGTGGGTTATCACAAGTTTCTGTTTCTGTGCTCCCAGGCCAGGGTATATCAAAGCTATCGATTTTTGCCAATCTGATTGGCAAAAAACTTTATCTTATTTCTTGTCATTTTAGTTAGTATTTTTCTAATTATGAGTAAATGTGGTCAGCTTTTAATTTTTAAGAATCATTTATTTTTTTCAGAATTATCTGGTCATCCCTTTGCCCATCTTTCTATTGCTTTGGAAATCTTTTCCTTAATAATTTGTAGGCACTGTGTTAAGGAAATTAGCCCTTTGTGATAAGGATAATGATTCTACTCAGCTTATTCATGGTGTGTGTGTATTTCTCCAATCAAATTAGTTTCACATTTTTTATATAATCACATGTATCAGTGTCTTACAGCATGTACTTTTTGCATCTTCTTTTCAGACTCTATTTTGACAGAATTATAGATTCCTGGGAAGTTACAAAAATAGTATAGCAGGGTTCTTGTACCCTTGACCCAGTTTCCCCCAATTGCTACGTCTTAAATAATTGACAGTACAATATGGAAACCAGAAAACTGACATTGATACAATGTGTGTCATTCCATTGCCATTTTGTCACATGTGTTAATATATGTAACCAACACAGTAGTCAGGATTGCAGAATTGTTCCATCACCATGAAGATCTATGTAGATCTGTGTAGATCTATGAAGATGCCCCTGTAGAAATCACACCCACTCCCTCAACCCCTGCTCTAGCCCCTGGCAGCCTCTAATCTATTCTCCATCTCCCAGAATATAATTGTATTATTGTTATTATTATGATTATATATTACAGCTTCAAAATGAAACTAGTCCAGTCCTAATATGGGGGATGGTTGGAAACACTGTTGCGTGTTACTGCACTTGGAAGTTACAATGACTATTTCTTAAGCATTTATGAAACGTCTTGCGAGGATTACCTCATTTACTCTTTACTGCTGTTTGAAGCAGAATTTCCCCAGTCTGCAAGCTGAAGGAATGGGTTTAGAGAGGTTAAGTAACCTCTTTCGGCATTCGAAAAAATTATTTAGAAAGTATTCTTAGGATTTGCTGTATAGAAAGGATTATTGCAGTTGTTTTTTTTTTTTTTTTTTTTGATCATTGCGTTTTAATGTAAGTAATTTGCAGGGAAACAAACCAGCGTCTCACAAGAGCAGCAGAAGGGGCAGCTTCTTATCTCAACTCAGAGCCTCAGGTAGAGTTATGGGAACGTTTTGTTTCTGGATCAAAAGAAGAAAATATTCTTTGGTGGTGTACTTCTAGACACATGGAGAGACCAAAGTGGGTCTCTGGTCGTTTGGTGTCTGAAACCATCCCAGTTGCTATCGTTGACACTGGCGGGCTGCCAGAGAGAAATCAAATGAATTTTTTACCTGATCAAACATTGGCTAATTGGATTAAGAGGATATAACTATATACCTTAATGGAAGCCAGATGGATTCTATTTTTTTTTATTTTAACTGATTAATTAATTTTTAAAGTAATCTCTATACTCAACCTCAGACTCAAACTCACAACCCTGAGATCAAGGGTTACATGCTGTGGTGCCTGGGTGGCTCAGTCCGTTAAGCGGCTGCCTTCGGCTCAGGTCATAATCCCATGGTCCTGGGATTGAGCCCCACATCGGGCTCCCTGCTCAGCAGAGAGCCTGCTTCTCCCTCTCCCTTTGCCCGTCCCTCTGTCTACTTATGATATCTCTCTGTCCACTTATGATCTCTCTCTGTCCAATAAATAAAATCTAAAAAAAAAAAAAAGAGTTGCACGCTCTACCAACTGAGGCAGCCAGGTGCCCTAAATTGATCCTAGTTATAAAAAGAAATATCTTTGGCTTTAAATGGGAGGTCTGGGAAAGTCTGGGTATTGACCTTATTTCATTCTTTTGTTGACGTTAAGTTGTAATAGGGTTATTTAAAACCTCAGGATGCTTTCTGAGCCCTCATTAGCATCACAGATTTTTTTTTTCCCCACAAGTTGAAAATCCCTTGACAAACACACAGGTTGGCTGAACTAACAGGTCGTCCCATGAGAGTTGTGGGCTGGTATCATTCCCATCCTCATATAACTGTTTGGCCTTCACATGTTGGTAAGTATTATAATCTTGTATTGTTTGTTATTTTTATTTATTTTATGTATTTATTTTTAAAGATTTCATTTTTTTACTTGAGAGAGAACAAGCGGTGGGGAGGGGCCAAGGGAGAGGGAGAAGCAGAGAGAGGAGGAAGCAGACTCCCGGCTGAGTGGGGAGGCTCCTGTGGGGCCCGATCCCAGACCCCTGAGATCATGACCTGACCCGAAGACAGACGCTCAACCGACTGAGCCACCCAGGCGCCCCATGTTTGTTGTTCTTAGAAATCAGTATCATCTTTCTCTTTTACATGAATGATGGTTATTTTAAATCATACTTTAATTATCCTTAAACAGGTGCCCTTGTTTTTATTTTGCTATGTTTTAAAAGTAATGATTTATGTCATACTATTTTTAATAGAGCTATAATTTCTGCACCCCATTTTCAATGTCTTCCAGACACCATTACTAACTAGAGCCTGACAGTTGGCTGACATAAAAAAACATTAAATTGTCACTGAAACTTGATGACTGTTGAACACCACCGTTTAGTACACTCCCATTCGGAAGACTCGAAGGGGTGAGGGGTGAGATTTACAAAACTCAGGTTTCACACATATTCCTTCCTAGCTGTTGAGGCTCTCAGCCTACCTCCTCACCCCAGTAATCTGTACAGCGTAACAAAATGGTTTTCTCTCTTTTTATCTTTACCACTTTTCTGAGTGCTGGTCATTTTGTTGTTGTTTTTGCCTGACTTCGTGAGAGAAGTAGAGTAACTTCACTTAGGAAGAGTGAGCTAACATTGTTCGGCATATAACTGTTTGCTAATGGTTTGTGAATGTTTTCTCCTCCAGTCCTCACAGCAGCCGTGAGTTAGAGATATTCCCCACAGTGTACTGATGGGTAACCTGAGGCTTACATGGATTAAGTTCACTTTTCACTGTGGTGTTCTTTTTCCAGTTTAGGGGCTTGAGATGATTGTAAATTCTGCATTCACCTGCACCACGGCGCCAGTGCCAGAAAGGCAGTAGCAGTGCAGTGTCGGACTATAATGGCAGATGAGTGGTCCTCTGTGTCAAGAGTGGTGGGTGGGGAGGGAGGCCTCCCAGGATCACGTGGGAGAGCTGCTGTGAGATGTGCCTGTCTTAAAGTCATCTTTCCCACCTGGGCCTGCTATAGTAACCTCTGGGAGTAGGTCCTAGGTGGGTATGTTCTTTTCATAATACACTCCTCAAAGAATTCTGGTGTGTAGTCCCAGTTAAATACTGGTACAGAGTAAGGGAGCGAATAGACTTGCTCTGTTTCTTGCTGACAGAAATTTACCTGACCTGTGGCTAACATTAAGAGTGACATGCCTGGGATATCTTGTGTCAACAAAAAATATATCATCAAGAGAGTTTTTTCAATTGGAAAAGAAAAAAGATTAAAGTGGAGCTTGCAGTAACGATAGAGGTGTTCTTAAACCTATGTTTCAAACTTAAAGTTGATAAAATAGTACAAAGAATTCCCGAATCTCTCACTCCAGATTTGCCACATTTTCTTCTGTTCTATGTTTGTGTATGTGAGTATGTTTTATCTGAAGTTATTTGAAAATAAGTCACAGCCAGTATTCACCTTAACTCCTGAATAATGGTTGGTATGAATTTCCTAAATGCAAGGACATTCTCTTACATAATTACAGTGTATTTATGAAAATTGAGAAATTAATATTAAAATAATATTATTATTTAAGTTACTGACCTTATTCAAATTCTTCAGCTCACTAATGTCCTAATAAGTGTTGTTTTTATAGCTGTGAATATATTCCTGTAAAACCTTAATATCACTGAATAAATTCAGTATTTGGTTTTATCTAACTTTTACTCAAAATAATAGCATTTTTTTCCCTGCCACCATTAACACTAAAATCAGATTTGCCTCAAATTTCTCCCATGGTAGTAGCATAGCCAGAGAGAAGTAAGTACCAAGCACCAATGAAAGGAAGGTTGGAGTGTATTTATTCCTGAACGATATTGTCACTATGGTAATGAGTACAATGGAGAATTTTCTGGCCAAAAAAGAAACTCTTAAGAACTTGGGAAAAAAAAACTTTATCAGTCTCTGGATGTTTTCTTCAGCTGTAAATAATGCGATGATTAAGAAGCCAAAGGAAAATAATTTAACACAAAATAAATTTGGAGACTAGAGCATTGAGATCTTACATTGAAAAAAATAGTAACACCTAACTGGGTAAGGAAAGGGAATAAAGAACAAAATGGAAAGCTCAGAGAGTTCTTACAGCAGGGGGGCTGGGAATGGCAGCTTTATGTTCTGTCAGGGAACAGGTGTGGTAGAATCTCTTTTCAGTCCTTTACAGGTTGAGAAGATCTTTTAACTCTGTGCCATGGTTTCCTCACTGACAGAAAATCAGAATATGTGAAATCCTGTATAAGACGTTCTGTCCCATGCTTAGCATAGTAGCAAAGCATTTATCTGTACAACTCAGTGTGGAGAGAGCATGACTGAGTATCTAAAGTGGAAGGGCACGGGGTGCTGGGGCGGCTCAGTGGGTTAAGCCACTGCCCTCGGCTCGGATCATGATCCTAGGGTCCTGGGATTGAGCCCCGCATTGGGCTCCTTGCTCGACGGGGAGCCTGCTTCTCTCTCTGCCTCTGCTGCCGCCGCTCTGCCTGCTTATGCTCACTCTCTCTCTCTCTAACAAACAAATAAAATCTTAAAAAAAAGTTGAAGGGCAGACAACACTGGAAGATCTCCAAACTATAGATAAAACTAAAGAAAAAATCCTCTCCCAACTGAACTGCTCTTCACAATGGCTAGATTGGTGTGGACTTCCAGAGCCTGAGGAATTGTGTAGCTACAAATGGCTGTTGAAGAATCGAGTCAAACCGGTGCCCCATGTTAGCAAGTCTTGGGAAAAACAATTAATTATTAATTATTAATTAATTATGTTTAATAGGAATGGCAAGTGAGAAGGAGTGAAAAGTGATTAGCCAACAAATTTATAATGGATGCAACAATGTGGTCACAGTTTCTGCTGGTTTGGACCTTACGATTTTGTGAGGAAGAAAAACAGTTAAAATACTAAAGGGGAAATAAAGAGTAACTACAATAAGAAAGACATAAACAGCATTTGCACCAGCAACTTAAAGCAGCAAATGTAAAATAAAAGTCTTAGGACTAAGAAATGAAACAAGAAGAAAATGTCATTAAAGATAAGCTTTACAGAGAGGGAGACAGCCATAAGAAACTTAATCTCAGGAAACAAACTGAGGTTGGTTGGGGCAGGACAGGGACAGGGTGGCTGGGGGATGGACATTGGGGAGGGCATGTGCTATGTGAGCGCTGTGGAGTATGTAAGCCTGATGATTCACAGACCTGTGCCCCTGGGGCAAATAATACATTATGTGTTAATTAATTGAATTTAAATTAAAAAAAAGGACAGCTTTAAACTTAGACTTTAAATTTAGAAAAAAAATAAAGATAAGCTTTAAACCTAAAAGAGTAACAGGCTAGGTTAGCTCTATAGAGAAAAGAAAAGTCACAGTTACATCATTAGCAAAGGGGTGAGAGAACATTCTGTAATGAAAGGCACAAACTCCAACAATGTTAAATTATGTACCCCCCCATAGCAATAAGATGTGCAAAGGACAAAGTTTTATAAGTAGGGAATAAAGTGGAAACTAGTTTGGAGCAGAACTTGATAACCCACTTCCAGGATCTTACTCCTTCAAGAGTATAATGTGAGTCTTTTGGCTTTGGATTGGGTTTTGCCATGAAGCAGTAGGGATATAAAGTATGAACAAAGGCAAGGGTGGTGTGTGTCAAACATACCTACTAATGCTTTAGAACTTGATTATTAAAGGATTTCTGACTTACAGAAAAATTGCAAAAACAGCATAAATAACCGCATTCAATAATTGTTAACCTTTTGCCACATTTGCTTTATCATTTTCTCTATAGACACAATTTGAGAGTAAGTTGTACACATGATGCTCCTTTATCCCTAAATACTAAATTGTATATTTCTCAAGAACAAGGATATTTACTTCCATAACCACCGGGCAATTACCAGCATCGGGAAAGTTGACGTTGATAGCATCCTTTTATGTAATCTACAGAACTTACTCACATTTGGCCAATTCTCCCAATTCTGTCCTTTGTAGCAGTTTTTCCTTTCCAATCCAGAGCCAGTTCTCAGATCATGCATAGCATCTAGTATCATGTCCTTTTAGTTCGACATGGACCAGTTCCTTAGCTTTTTGGTCATTCCCAAACCTCTGAACTCATTTCCTCTTTCACATTCAGCAGATAATACTGCATCCTACTTTATTTATTTATTTTAAAGATTTTACTTATTTATTTGACGGAGAGACAAGAAGAGAGAGAGCGCAAGCACGGGGAGCAGCAGGCAGAGGGAGAAGCCTGCTCCCCGCTGATCAGGCGCCCCTGCTGCCTACTTTAATAAAGGAAATGGGAGTCATTAGAAAGGAATTTTCTCCATTTCTCTTTACTCACCTACTTATCACTGGCCTCATCTTCTCCATTTCCCTCCTCTTAGCTAATAGACATCCTTCCATTCTGGCTCTTTTTTTTTTTAAAGATTTTATTTATTTATTTGATAGAGAGATCACAAGCAGGCAGAGAGGCAGGCAGAGAGAGAGGGGGAAGCAGGCTCCCTGCTGAGCAGAGAGCCCAATGCGGGGCTCGATCCCAGGACTCCGAGATCACGACCTGAGCCGAAGGCAGCGGCTTAACCCACTGAGCCACCCAGGCGCCCCCCATTCTGGCTCTTAATCTTGGCTTCCCGTGACTTGAAGAACCTTGCACTCTTCATTGTGCTTCTTTCTCCAACATCTATATCCCTTTCCATTGTACTGGATTTTCCCCATCATTTATTTGTTCCTTCAAGAAATAAATCGAGCGTCTACTGTGTGTCCAGCCCTCCAGGTGCTGGGGATAAAGCAGTGAAGGAGAAAAGCCTCCGCCTTCATGGAGCTTTACCTCATGGTTAAGAAAACACAACAAAAATACTTGCCAATCCCAATTCTCCTTCAGGTCAAAGACATTTCTCACTTTTCATTTACACTCTTCACCCTGCTCTAGTCTGCCTCCCAGTCCACTGAAAGTAATCAGTGACATCCGTTGAAAATCTAGTAAACATTAGGGGTGCCTGGGGGGCTCAGTCAGTGGAACATCCGACTCTTGGTTTTGGCTCAGGTCTTGATCTCAGGGTCCTGGGATCGAGCCCCGTGAAAGCTCCATGCTCAGTGTGGAGTCCGCTTGAGATCATCTCTCCCCCTGTCTCTCTCCCCCTCCCTCATTCACATGCGTGCTCTCCCTCCAAAAAACAAAAACAAAAACCAGAGAGAAAAATCTAGTAAACATTTTATGTCGCCGTCTTCTGTAGCATTTGATACTACAATGATTCTACTCCTTAAAAACACTTCTCAGTTAATGAGGAGTGCTTGGCTCTTAAGGATAGAAACTGAGCTGAGGCTGAGAGTTGAAACACCTTATCTGAAACCAGAGAGGCTCATAACGGGTGGAGGCAGTATTTGAACTATTTGTATGAGTCAGGGTTAGTAGGAATGCTATTTATGAACATAGGAAATGGAGGAGGAAGTGTAGGTGTGGTGGAGGAAAAGATAGTTGAAGTTATGTCATACCCACACCGTTAACTTACCAAAATGTTATCTATATATAGTTTGCAAAAGAGAAAAGAAAGGGATTTAGATGGTGTAGGTTATTTCATAAATCTCATGAGACTTTATTGTCCTTGTGTGTATGAAAAAGAGAAATGTGCCTGTAGCTATACTCACAATTTTAAGATCTGCTCAGTTCTTCCAGACTGAGGTAATTGGCACTGCAACAAACAGTGATGTATTAGGTAATCTACCACCAGCGTTGGATGGGCTCAACCTCCCGTGACAGATACAGGTTGCAACTTTGTTTAAGCTTCCAACCAATCACTGTAACAAATTACATTTTCCCAAACAAGCATTCTGCTCTAGAAGTTACAAGTTAATACTCCTTAGAATCATTATAAACAAATTTGATGAAAAAGTTTTTTAGTTCACTTAGGAAGACAAGGGGGAGAAGTCCCAGTGTTTAAGAATATATTGCCAGGGGCGCCTGGGTGGCTCAGGTCATGATCTCAGGGTCCTGGGATCCAGCCCCACATCAGGCTTTCTGCTCAGCAGGGGGCCTGCTTCCTCCTCTCTCTCTCTCTCTGCCTGCCTCTCTGCCTACTTGTGATCTCTGCCTGTCAAATAAATAAATAAAATATTTTAAAAAAAGGAAATTACTGCCAAAGTAACTGGGCATAAGTCCACACCCTTCAGCATTTTGTTGTAATACTTGATTTCTTGTATCCTTCATAAACAATGAACAATGAGGTCTGAAGACCTCAAATTTTTAAATTTAGCCTCCATTCAGTTTGGGGTAATCTTTTAACTGAGATTTTGTTTCTGCTCCCTGGAATGTTGGTTTTAATTCTGTTGCAGTCTCTATGAGAATTTACTCCATAATACTTCTACATTTCCATTCTTCATTGTCAAGTGTCACGTATGCATTTCCCTAAAAACGTCCATCAAAAGGCTTATTTGAGGAAGCTGTTTGTCTACTTTCAGGGCCTTCGTTTCTCTTTGAATCTCATGGAAGGAATTATCAAGTTTTGGGGGGCCAGCTGAGGAGTTATTAATCCTGCTTTTCTTATTTAATTGCATACTTCTCAATGTACTCTTCCCTCACCCAGTAAAATGTTTACACTTTGGCAGTCATATTGTCCTTAGGATATATCTCTGTTCTGCCTGTAGAGTCTGACTCCTGGGAGGACTATATGCTGCTATTATCTTTAAATCTTTGTGTTTGCGAGATCTAGTTTATTGACAGCAGATTTTAATTTTTGTTTATTTACAGATGTTCGCACGCAAGCCATGTACCAGATGATGGATCAAGGCTTTGTAGGACTTATTTTTTCCTGTTTCATAGAAGATAAAAACACAAAGGTATTTGTGTGTGTGTGTGTGTGTGTGTGTGTGTGCGCGTGTGTGTGTAAGCACACACACACAGAATAGAGAAAAATCTTTTTGCAATTTTAATAGGGTGGCCAGGGAAGGTTTCAATGAGAAGGGTCATTGAGTCAGGACCTGAAGAAAGTGAGGGAGCAAGTCTTGTGGATTTCTTGGGGCAAGAGCGTTCCAGGCAGACGAAATAGCCAGTGCAAAGACCCTAAGGTGAGTGTGGCATGTTCAGGGGACATCAAGGAAGTCAGTGTGGCTACAGCAGAATGAGGAAGACCATGACCATATGTCCCAGTTTGCCTCTAGCAGTCCCAGTTTTATCCCATTATCCCAGTCTCCTATTTGGTTAGGACCTTTCCTTCTTGAAAATATCTTGGTTTGGACAATAACTCATTTGGTCGTTCTACAATGAGGTCTGAAAGGTAACCAGGGGCCAGATCTCATGAGGCCTTTGATTTGACTGACTTGGGAAGCCACTGGAGGGTGAATTTACGTTTTAATGGGATCTCTCTGGCTACTGTGTTGATAGTAGACTGGACGGGGGATGGAGGTGGGTGCATGGGGAAGGAGGAAGTATGGAATCCATGACATCTGTGAAACCAGTTAGAGAGATACTGGAGTAATCTAGGCAAGAGCTGATGGAGATTTGACCATGGTGGTAGGAGTGGAGCTAATGAAAAGGGGCCAGATTCTGTATACATTTGATGGTAATAATAATTATATAATTATAATAATAACGGCCACAAGTGCTGCCGTTTATCAATATGTTGTATGGTGTTTGACATAAGCATGCTCTAACCCTGACCATGGGTTATGAGGATGAGGATTATTTATGTATTTATTTTAGAGAGAAAGAGAGCATGCATGGGAGGGGTAGAGGGAGAGGGAGAGAGAATCTCAAGCAGACTCCGTGCTGAGCGGAGGGCCCATTGCGGGGCTTAATCTTACCACCCCACGATCGTTACCCGAGCTGAAATCAAGAGTTGGATGCTTAACTGACTGAGCCCCCCAGGTGCCCTGAGGATTATTATTATCTGCATTTGATGGATGAGAAGCTCAGAGAAGTTAAGAGAAGTTGAACAGCCCAGTCAATGGCTAGTCTTAGCAATTTTCTATGTAGAGTGTTTCTGTTTGAATTCTTTGTTTATGTCAAGAGGTTTGACTATGTGTCAGTTCAAACAAAAAAGAAAATTACCATTTAACATTGTAGGAATGAATTTTGCCAAAACTATCTCAAGTATGCTCTGTCCTTTAGTACATTAGTTATATGGTCAGAAGTTATATTAATAATGAATATTGTTCATAAAGCCACTCTTTTCCAGAAACAGTAATCTTGAAGTTTATACTTCATCTGAAGTGATTTTGGCTTTGTCATTATAACTTTATTTATTGTCATTATAAATATTTGGATAAGTTTGTCAGCTTCCAACAAAACTGTTCAAATGCTCTGGTTCTTGGTTTCTTGGTCCTCATGTTTATAAGAAATTCTCTGCTGTCATATGAACAGATGTTTCATTAAGGCCATTTTATGTTGACTGAGCTGAGTACATGATCCTTTATGGAAATCGGAATCCCTTTTAACCTTCCACTTCTAGAAGGTCTTCGGATACCACCCATGTAAGGATATGAGTATTAGGTTTGAATCTACTAAAGTAATCCTTCTCTGTGTGATCGTTCTTTCTGTCTTTCTTTCTCTTTCTTTTTCCTTTTTTTTTTTTTTTAGACTGGCCGAGTACTCTACACTTGCTTTCAATCTATACAGGCCCAGAAGAGCTCAGAGTAAGTATGACAGAGATGTATGCATGTATGTGTGTATTGGTGGGCTAATTTTCATCCCAGGGAATTGACTGTACAGACCCAATTAAATAAATTATGCATCTAAATAATGGAATAATATGCAGCCATTAATAATACAAGGACATTCAGTAGTAATACAGAAATATCTGCAAGAAACATCATTAAATAAAAAAGGCAAGGTATGAGAATAGTATGTATAGTATGGATAGCATGCTACCATTTGGGTAAGGATATGGAAGAGAAATGTACACATCAACGTGCCAGCACACTTGCTAGTAAATACACAAAATACGTGGAAGGAAACACATCAGTCACCTCAGTAGAGACAAAGTGATGTTTGTGTTTATATCTCGAAATAATATACTTTTCATATTCTTTCTTGATTTACTAATTTTGGATGTTATCTATTCTTAATACGTTACTTCACCCTCACAAATGAGGATTTAGCTCAAATGCTCTGCCCCATCTCCATGTCCCCCAGTGTATTTATATTACTACTTTTGTTCTTCTGTTGGTGACTTTTCTGTTCTTCAAGTTTGCCCCTTTATTTTGTCCACAACAGACAATAGACACTATCTTTTGGCTCCGGGCTGTTACTTGTATTTTTTACTATAAACCTTTATATTTTCACAGTTGCAAACAGCTGTGGTATGTGTTACAACCATAATTGCATTTTTTGTGCTTTTTCTACTAGTTGACTCTAAGAGTAGAAAATACAGTGTTTATCATCATGATTATGTAAATATCATTATTCCATGTACAACCAAGCAGTGTAAAGTAGTATACTATGATTCCATTTCCTTTCTTGAATAGCTTTTTGCTTTTCCATGGGGTGTTTCAATGGCTTTTCTCTCCTTATTTTTCTGCCTTTATCACCTCCCTGAGTTCCAAATTCTTAGGAGTAATATAGAAATCTTTGGAGTCCCTGCTTTGCTAGGATTACTCCCTGAAGCCCTCCATCTTCCTACCTTAGTCAGGTCTTCACTGATATCCTGGAACTTTCCTTCATTATTCTCCTTGGTTAGATTCACTGATTTCAGTGGATTTCATTTCAGTCCACTGTCTGGATTTTATGTCATCTTTCTTGGTTCACTCTTTCTAAGAAAGGTATGCATTTGAGTCTTTTACCTGTCTAACTCTTGTTCTTTAATAGGGCACTTTTTTTTTCTCTGACAGCTTTTGGGAACTTCTCTATTCTTGATGTTGTGAAATTTCATATGATACAACCGGAGTGTGGATATTCTATGATTCAAACTGCTAGATGCTGTCAGTGAGACAGCACTTGTCCTACAACTCTGAGAAGTTCTGTGCTATCATTTTCTTTTGTATCCTCAGATAAAACAATCCATATATTCCTGGGAAGAAAAGATCTTATTCATAATTCAATCAAGTCCCATCATTTAAAGCTTCTTCAAGTGTAACTCAGTCTTTGGGGGATAATTCCTCATTCTTTGAGTTATTTCCCTTTCTCTCCACTTTGACTCTAATAAGGTGGCATTTGGAGTGTTGGGAAGATGAGGTAAATGAACTTATGCTATAGGGAAGGGAGACTTCCTGGTCTCAAGCTGGTTTAGGGAATCAGGACATGAATCCTTCTATTCATGGTTAAGGCCCACCTTCATTTATCCAGTGTATTTCTCCTCTCTCATGGAGTTGAAGCCCCAACATGAAGAGATAACCTTAACAGCTTTCTGTCCTGTGACTACCTCATTCTCCCCATAGGTTAGTAGGATTGGTGTGTCATATCATTTTCTCTTCTCTGTTCTTAGATAAATCTCCCCCTTGTTTTTCCTCTCTCTTTCTAGAACTCCTATTAGTCAGATATTAAAGGTCCTGGATTGACAGTAGTGACTCTTTTAACTCATATTTTCTGTCTCTCTGTTTTTTGTTGTTCTGATATCTCAAGAATATTTTAGATTTTATCTTCCAGCCCTTTCATTTAGCAATTTTTTATATTTTTAATTTGTAAGAGATTTTTCCTTGTTTAGTGGTTATTCCTATTTCACAGTATCCTATTCTTGATTTGTTGACATGATAGTTAAATAGGAAATGTTAAATTTTCTTCTGTTTTTTCAGTTACCTGTTTCCTCTGTGGTAATTTTTTTCTGTTTATTTTTATTATATTTATATTCATGTTATATTTATAATATATTATGACTTTTAAAAATACTTCTTTTCCATCCTCTTTTAAGAACAAGCCAACAAAAACATGATAACTCATTATTTGTAGCCTTAGTTCGTCAACAGGAGCCTTTATTTTAGGGTGAATGCATTGAGAGCCGGCCACTTTTCTCATGGATCACCAAGTGCTAGATTTCAGGTATCCTGCTCTGGGACACCAGTCTTAACAATTGCTACAATTCCAGACACTTTGTTCTGTTAGTTAGGAGAACTTTTACTGCTGCTGCTATTGTTGCTAATGATGATGATGGTGATTTTGGCTTAAGAATGGAAGGCTGGTTACTAGTTCTGTGTATCCAGAGGCTCAGTTGTAGAAGAGCATAAAAGATTAACTACAGTCCAAAATTTCTGGCAGGAAGACCAAAAAAGGGTAGCCTCCAGGAAATTACACGAAGGGAGGAGTGTGTTAACGCCAACTTCATAAAGTTGTTTGTAAATTTCTGGGCCCACTCATGAGCCATTAATGTATGGACCTGATCTTAATTAGCATAAATGATAACTGAATTAACTAGTAGACCACCACAGAGGTCCCATACTAACCACTGGGTGGCATGCAGGCAGGAAGGATCTGAAGATCACTAGAAATGCTCTGAAAGTTGAACTGACATTGGAACTACAGCCCACTGTGGAAATTTCAGCCTGAACTTAACTAAGCAGATGGTCTGCTAAAACAAAAACAACATTCTTTGTAGAATATAAACAAGACCCAGGAGATTATAAAAAATATTCAAAATACACAGTATATAATTCAGAATTAGTATGGGAGGAACAACAAAAATCTCAACTTGCATGGAAAACAGTAATCAACAGATGCCAACACTGAGGGGACAATGATGTAGGAATGATCTGATAGACTTTAAAGTAACTATTATAAAAATGTTTTTAAAAATCACAAATACTTCTGTAACAAATGTTTGAATAGAAAGTCTCAGCAAACAAATAATTTGGCAAAACCTGTGAGAATCAACTTTCTTAGAACTGTAGAAACTAATCAGAACTTTATAGCAACCAGGCAAATGCTTAGTCAAAAAAAATCACAATCTCACATTTACAGAAATCTTTGTTGAGTCATTACAGGGCCACTAAGCTAACAGGACCAAAATCTCAGTGGCCATATATAACAAAGAATATAGATTATGAAAAATTAGTTCAAGAAAGTCACAAACACACAAACTCAGATAAAACAAGCAGCAACAACAAACCCTAGGGTGGGGTAGAATCTGGTTTCCACCATTCCTGTGTTATAATATTCAAAACATCCAGTTTTAACAACAACAAAAAAGGCATTCAAAGAAACAAATTTGGGGCCATAAAGAAGAAAAAGAAATTGATAAAAAATTCCTAGAGGAAGCACAGACATTGGACTTATAATCAGTATTCTCAAAAAGCTTAAAGGAAACTATGAAAAGGACAGAGACTATCAAATTGAGAATATTGGTAAAGAGATAAATTATGAAAAGGAACAACTAGGAATTCTGGAATGAGAAGTGTAATAACTAAAGTGGGAAATTCACCTGAGAGGTTCAACAACAGATTTGAGAAGAAAAAAGAAAGAATCAACTGATATTATGTCTGAGGAACAGAAAGTGAAAAGAATGAAGAAATAAAATTTTTAAATTTTCAATTTATCATTTTAGAGGATGATTTTGCCAGATACAGAATTCTTCCTTAGTAGCTCTGTTCTCTCTCAGCATTTAGAGTATTTCATCCCACTGCCTTTTGGCTACCCTGGTTTCTGATGATAAATTGCCTTTCAATCTAACCCTAACCCTCATGTGTAATGAGTCACTTCTCTCTTGCTGCTTTCAAGATTCTCTCTTTGCCTGTATCTGGCAAAATCATCCTCTAAAATGAAGGAGAAATTGGCATTCCCAGGTAAACAAAAACTGAGAATATTGTTACTAGTAGATCCACCAAACAGTAGCTGAAAATACATTTTTTCTCAAGTGCACATGGGATGTTCTCCAGGATAAACCACATGTTAGTCCACAAAGTAAGTCTCAATAGATTTAAAAAGTTTGAAATCATACAAAGCATCTTCTAAAAATACAGAATGAGATCTGAAATCATTTACAGATGGAAATTTGGAAATTTCACAAATATGTGGAAATTAAATAATATAGTTTTACGCAACCAATGGGACAAAGAAAAAGTTACAAAGAAATTAAAAAATACTTTGAGATTGAAAATAAAATCACAGTATACCAAGATTTATGAGTTACCAAAAAAAAATAGTACTTAGAGGGAAATTTATAGCTATACAATAAAAAAGAAATAAGCCAGGAGTGCCTGGCTGTCTCAGTTGGTAGAGTGTGTGACTCTTGATCTCGGGGTTGTGAGTTCCCCCTCCAGGTTGGTTGTAGAGATTACTTAAAAAAGAAAACAAAATTAAAGTTAAAAAAGTAATAATAAAAAATTTTTAAGTCAATAACCTAACTGTACAGTTTAAGGAACTGGAAAAAGTGTCAACCAAATACAAAGCAGTTAGAAGGAAGGAAATGATAAGTGTTAAAGTTGAAGACAAAATAGGGAATAGAAAAACAGTACATAAGGGACACCTGGGTGGCTCAGTCTGCCTTTGGCTTAGGTCATGATCTCCGGGTCCTGGGATTGAGCCCCACATTGGGCTTCCTGTTCAGCCAGGAGTCTGCTTTTCCCTCTCCCTCTGTCCCTACCCCGTGTGTGCTCTCTCATTCACTCTCTCGCAAATAAAATATTTTTTTAAAAGAAAATCAATAGAATTAAATACACAAAAAGTTCTTGGAAGAGGTCAACAAAATTGGCATATCTTTAGTTAGAAT